CCGGTTACCCTCCCACCACCCAGCCACCCTTCTCCCCTCCCCTTCCCCACCCCCTCCCCATATTCTTGGGCTAGAATTAAGTTGTTTCTTTCATTTGAGAAGTATATATTAGTTTCATAGAAGGGCTGTGTACATTGGATACTTTTTCTTCCATTCCTGTGATAAGATTTTATTGAGTATTTTTCTATTCATTAGTGAAATTGGTCTGTAGTTCTCCTTTTTAGTTGGGTCTTTTCCTGAATTTGGTATCAGGGTGATGTTTGCTTCATAGAATGTTGGGGAAGTTTCCTTCTGTCTCAATGTTTGGAAATGGGTTCTGCAGTATAGATACAAGTTCTTCTTTGAAGGTGTGATAGAATTCTGGTGTGAACCTTTATGGCCCAGGGCTTTTATTTTATTGGAAGCTGTTTTATTGTTTCTTCAATTTCCATTGCTTGATATTAGTCTATTCAAGAGACCTATTTCTTCTTGGTTAAGTCTAGGCATAGGGTGTGATCCCAGGTATTTATCCATTTCCTCCATATTTTCAAATTTCTGGGCATAGATTTTCTTATACCAGTTGGAGAAAATCTCATATATCTCTGTGCTATTGCATGTTATTTTCCCTTTTTTGTTCTCTCATTGAGGTTATTATAGATTTTGCTTTTCTGTTTCTAGTTAATTTTCTCAGTGGTTTGTGGATTTTATTTATTTTTTCAAAGAACAAAATTTTTGTTCCCTTAATTTTCTGAATAATTCTTTGCTTTCAATTTCATTAATTTCTGACTTAATTTTGGTTATTAATTTCCTTCTGGTATTTTAGGATTAGATTCTTCTTCCTTTTCCATTTCCTTAGTAAGATTAATTAGTTTGTTGATGTGATCTCTTCTGCTTTTTGTGATCCTCCCACTTCAGCCTCCCAAAGAGCTAGTATTACAGGGATAAGCCATGATGCCAGCTATCATACAAGTTTTAATTGCATAATTAAAATTATGCAATATAAAAAGTTGCACTTCATACACACATTTCAAAAGTACAGGAATATCCCTAAATTCTCACTTTCCCAAAGGAATCGTCAGATTATTTCAAAGCTAGTAGGTGGAGTGGATCACACACTGTTTATTTTTGCTGTGTGAAAGGAACTTTCAAGCTGATTAAGCAGCCATAATCCTTTGTCCATAGTCCCAACACCATACAAGATATTTCTTCAAATAAATTGTAGTTACTCCTGCCTGCTATTTTAACACTGAAGGTCATCACAAAATGACCATTTATTTTATTTTTTATTTATTTATTTATTTTTTTATTGAATGGTAACTATGTACATTAATGCACTTCTGGGGTACAGTGTAGGGTTTTCACATGCAATCTGAAATACTTCCATCAAACTGCTCAACACAGCCTTCATGTCATTTTCTCAGTTATTGCTTTAAAACATTCACATTCTACTCTTAGATTCACCTGTACCCCTATAAGATAAACCTCAGAAGTGATCCCTCCAAACCCCTTCCCTCCACCCATTCTCTCCTCCCTTCTCCCTCCCCCCTCCCCATATTCTTAGACTATTTGGTTATAGCTTTCATATAAAAGGTATAAATTAGTTTCATAATAGGGGTGTGTACATTGGATACTTTTTCCTCCATTCTTGTGATACTTTGCTCAGAAGAACATTCTCCAGCTCCATCCATGTGAACATGAAGGATGTAAAGTCTCCATCCTTCTTAATGGCTGCATAGTATTCCATGGTGTACATATACCACAGTTTGCTGATCCATTCGTGGATCGATGGGCACTTGGGCTTCTTCCATGACCTGGCAATTATGAATTGGGCTGCAATAGAGAATAGAGAACTAAAAATAGACCTACCATTTGACCCTGCAATTCCTTTGTTGGGTATATTCCCAGATGACCAAAAATCGCATTACAACAAAGATATTTGTATCAGAATGTTTATTGCAGCCCAATTCATAATTGCCAGGTCATGGAAAATGACCATTTAAAAACTTTTCTAAAATATCCTCTGACAACAAAGTAACCCACATGTTTATTAATGTGCTGAAAAATACATCTACAAACAAATGACTTTTGAAAAGTAATTAGAAATGGTAAAATGAAGGAAATAAGACTGAACAACTGATTGCTTTGTTTTAGGGGCATTTGTGTTGAGACATGTTCAAGAGGGCACTAAGAAAACAAAACGATCTTTCACTCGGGTATACATGTAAGGTTCAAAAATGTCTCAGGCAAAGTATACCTGGACAAAAAGGTTTGCTTCTCTTTGGACAAAATATTCTTTCCAGTGTTAATGTACCATTAAGCTGGGATGAAGCCTAATGTAGTATATCTTTGCATTTGGAAGAATGTAACCTCCTTTTTTGTATTTATCCATATGGGAATTATTGCATTTTCTATCATGAAGTGATGATACAAGATCTTTGGGAGAATAAAACAGCATAGAGGCCTGAGAGAGATCATGAGCTGAATCCAGATGCTGGCAGATGAGTATTAAGCAAGGTGGCTATAGCAGCAAGAAGAAAATCCACTTTTGCCTTTCATCATTAAAAGGCATCCTTTGCACACGAACACACATGCCAAAGGATTGGATTCTGGATCTGAGTATTCTTCTGCATGTCCTGTTCTTTTTATGGAGATCAAAAGCCAAAATAGGCAAATATACCCAGACATTTTGCAGGAAAAGGTAGAAATGGTAGCATTTTTTCCAATCTATATCTGACCACAGTGGAGCACCATCAATGAACATGTCAGTTCTCCTTCCTTAACCAAGAAGCAGAGACAAGATGAGTTTGAGGCTGTGGTTGGGTCCAGGTGGTGTCTCTTCTCTGAGTGAATTCTGATGACTTTTCTGGTCCTTCCTACTTGGGAAGAAAGCATAAGGGGAAAAAGTGAAGAAGAAAGTAGCATCTCAGAAATTAACTTAAACTTCTAGCTTGCCTAGAGATGACAAGCTAGGATTTCTGTAAGGTTTAAAGCCCAATAAATATGTCCTAATACATGACTCTACAACTTTTGCCTCCAATACCCACATTTGTAATGGTTTGTTTTGTTGTCTTTCTAGAAATATTTACAGGGAGAGTAAGGTGGCATTATAAGCACTTAACACATTTCACATCATTTGATCCTCACAGTGACAGGGGCAGTAGCTACCCTGGCTCAGAGGCTCCATGTTCCAAATAAAGCCCATATCTTCTAACAGCTCCTGGGTGGCATAACATCCAGGCTACTGTCAGGGACGAGCCTAGTTACAGGAGTTACAGTACTCAGGAATCTATAGCTTCCATTTAAAGTACTTAAAGTCTGCTCATAATCTCCAAATCCAGATAATTTCATAAAGCATAGGTCATTTTGATCATGCACAGCCTTTAAGTTTTCACTCAAGTGTCTTCTTCTCCTTGAGGCTCATTGTGGCTGCCTTGTTTAAAGCTGGACTCCTCTTGCCCCATGGATTCCATTCTCTATTGATCTATTTTTTCTACTTATCACTTTATAACATACCATAAAGGTCACTTTTTGAGGTTTAAGTTTGCCTCCACCCACTATTAGAATATTAGCTCCCTGAGGCAAGGATTTTTGTCAATGTGTCCACTGAAGTTTCCCTAGCACCTAAACAGAGCAGACAATAACTATTTGCTATTTAAATTTTTTGATTAAATATTCCTTTATATTTGTAGAAGGAAGGAAATAATAAAGTGGGGGAGAAAGACAAAGGAGGAGTAGAAGAATGAAACTATGAAAGAGAGGAGGAAGAAAAAGTTAAAGTAATTGAAAGAGAATTGGAAAGAAAGAGGAAAGGAAGGAACAAAGGAAAATGAGGGCATGAATGAGGGAGAGAAAGAAATAGGAAGACAGGAAAGAAGGAAAAAGAGAGAGAAAAATAGAGAATGAAGAATGGAGAGGAAGGAAGGAAAGAAAGAAGGAAGGAAGAGTTCTGGTTTGGGTCTCAAAAATCACAATCTTCAGCTGCATAGTGCAGAAGCCTAACTCACTGTCTCTGTTTTTTTGATCATGCTACCAAGAAGCTCCTGGAAGCAGGAGATGTTGGATTCACTCCAGGCTCTCTAGATGTTCTGATCTTACCTCTTTGGTGTGGATGGTAGTCTGAGACATCTCAGTGCTTTCAGTTTTTACCCCTTTCCACATCCCAGTAAACCATTTCTTGTATTCCATTAGCACCTGGAAGTTTGAGGAATATAGAGGATTGTGTTATATCCAGAGCTTTTGGGGGGAAGAAAGGACCCTGAAATGGGAGACTAAAGGAGACTAAAGACACTGAGCCCTACTCTGCTACTCTTTCATTCATTTTCTATATAATCTTAGTCATGCTTACACTGATTCATTTTGTTTAAATTCATATTCCTAGATTGCAGAAAAGTTGTGTACTAAATGTCAGACACCATAAGGACTCAACATATATGGTGATTATGATGGTCGTGGTGATGGTGATGAAGATAATAAATGTGGTTATGGTGAAGGTGACTATGATGAAGATTAGCATGATAACAATGAAAGCAACTATGGTGTTAATAGCAATGATATAATAGTGTTGGTGTTGATAATGATGATGGTGTGGTGATGGTAATGAAGGTAATAGTGAATGCAGTAAAGGTGATGGTGACAATGAATGTAATGAAGGTGGTGATGATGAGGGTGATTATGATGAAGATGAGGATGTGGATGAAAGTGACTATCTTGATGATGGTGGTGACATGATAATGATGGTGGCGATTATGATGATGAAGGTCAGTAGCTATTGAACACTAGTTCAAGTTACTTTATATATGATATATATAGCATTGTTTAATCCTTACACAAACCTACTGAGAAAGGTATTCCTCTTACTCATGATCAAAGATGAAGAAGTCGAGGCTCTTAACAGTAAATTGACTTGTCCAAAGTCACACAGCCAACACTCAAAATCTTGTCACTGTTACTCAGGGTCTTGACACTAACCATTACACTAAACCATTAGTTCAAAAATTAATTTGAGACTGATTAAGTACTTACATGTAAGCTATAAGCCATAAAAATTCTAGAAGAAAATGTAGGAAAATTTCTTCTAGACATAGGCCTAGTAATTTATGACTAAGCCTCCAAAGGCAAATTTGGCAGCAACAAAAATAGGTGAATGGGACTTACTTAAATTTTATAAAGCTTCTAACGCAAAGGAGATAATGAACAGAGTAAACAGGTAACCAACCATGTGGGAGAAAATACTCTCATACTATACATCTGACAACAGAATAAATTTCAGTATCTACAAAGAACTCAAATAACACAGCAAGAAAAAAGAACTCATCCAAAAGTGGGCAAAAGACATGAACATAGTTTTCTGAAGAGAAGATATACAAATGGGCAGCACACATATAAAAAGAAGGTCAACCTCACTAATCATCAGGGAAATGCAAATTAAAACTACAAGAAGATACTACCTTAACCCTGTCAGAAGGGCCATTAAGGAAAAGTATGGATGTGGAGAAAAAGGTATGCTTATACACTGTTGGTGGGAGTGCAAATTAACACAACCTATATAAAAAAGTGTGGAGATTCCTCAAAAAGCTAAAAGCAGACCTGCCATGCAATCCAGTAATCTAGGTACTAGGCATCTACTCCATCAGAAAAGAGGTAATTTTATTAAAAACAAACAAACAAACAACAGCAACAACAACAACCAAAAAAACACCTGCACTTGAATGTTTGTTGCAGCACAATTCATAATAGCAAAGACAAAGAATCAACACAAATGCTCATCAATACACGAGTGGAGAAAGAAAATTTGGGATATACACGAATCACTTTGGGTACTACTCAGCCACAAAAAGGAATGAAATAATGTCATTCCCAGCAACTTGAGTGGAATTGGATACCATAATCTTAAGTGAAGTATCTCAGAAACAGAAAACAAACACTACATTCTCACTAATAAGTTCAAGCTAAATCATGGGTGCACATGGGCAGAGAAAGACATAAAGGACTTTGGAAATGAAGAAGGGCAGATGGTGGGAGAAGGGTGAGGGATGAAACTTAACCTGTTGGGCACAATGAACACTGTTGTGGTGTCAGGCACATGGAAAGCCCTGACCTCAGCTTTATAGAGGGCATATATGTAACAAAACTTTTGAACCCCCTTAATATTTTGGAATAATAAACAAATGAACAAATCACTTTGTTTGGAGATATTGAAGCATTTAGGTTTAAATCTTTAACTGATCATCTACTGATTATTTTTCCTAGAATCTTATAATTTTGAGCTCATGTTTAATTTTACAAAATTAATTTGACTTTTGCCCATCACGGAAATGTCAGCGTATGTTCTAATAAATGCTTTCAAATTTAAAAAAAAAATACAGCTAAAAGATGGAAGAGAAATTAGTGAAGTGCTAAGCTGCCACTAGCACCTTAACTGCTATAAGTTTTTCTCACTAGCAGAGGAAAAAGCCAGTAAAAATGTTCCTAGTTTTCTATGGAGAATAACTTTATAATAGAAATCCTCACTGAGAACTTAATGCGTTGTGAAGGATTGCTAAGAGACTTATGCTACACTCATGCATTTAAATCTTCAACCTCATAAGGCAAGATGGGCATTGCCACAATGGCAGGTGAGAAAACTGCAGATGAAGATCAGGAAAGGATCACACAGCAACCTACTCTGTGGAAGAGTGAAATTAGAGTTGAAGTCTCTCTGGGCCTCTGACAGATTATGCCAAATATTCCAGTGTCACTCTCCACAGAGGGCCTTCATGACAGGACTATTTATTCCCCTCTTGGTGAACACAGGCATAGCCATGTGACCTGCTTTGACCAGTGAAATGAGGGCAGTACCAAGTGCATCACTGCTAAGCAGAAGCTTTAAGAACTAAGCTTTCATTTGCCGTGGTCTCTTTTACCTGACTGCAAGACCACTGATGTTCCAAAGAGGGGAGCCACGCCTTCAGACTGCATCCCAGAGGGAGCACAATGTGGATGAAGCCACAGGTACACAGCATGAGCAAGAAATAGAAGTTTATCATTCTAAGCCACTGAGACTGTGGTGGAGGACAAGGGGCTGTTTGTTACTGCATTATAATTTACTTTACCTTGACTGATAGGTCAAGGATGGTCTTCAGAGATATGCTAGGATGCTGAAGAGATGAAACCCAAGGTGCACAGCCTACTGAAGCAGCACCTAAATCAAGGCACACAGCCTACTGAAGCAGCACCTAAACTCTCTCTTCAAAATCAAGACAACTCAAAATAAAAGTCCAGGGAAAGGTGAGAATGTGAACAGTCATTCACTAAGTGTCTGGGACTAGGCTGATGGTGAATGGAGTAGTTAGCCTTACCTGGCGATTGAGAAGGCAATGCACCACAAAGAGCAGCACCCCTTGCAGGATGTTGATGATGGTGAATAAGTAGCTGGTGACCAAGCGCACTGTCTCCCCTACTTCTTCAACCATAAAGAAGCCAAGGCTCCAAGAACATCCCAGTACAAATAGCTGAGCAATGGCTTTAAACGTCATGACTCTGGGGAGGAGGGAGTAATAACAACTACTGTTTATTGGGTACTCATAGTGTGTTTAGTTGACATCAGTGGTAATTTGAGGTTATTTGAACCTCACAACAGCCTCATGCAATTGAGTGACTCAGCTTGAGGCCAAGGCATAACCCATGCTGTCATTCACTGCAAATCACAGAGAATGATGCTTCTCCCCCCACTCTTGGAAATTATTTCATCTGTCTGCACAGTCTTCCACCTGGACTTACTGGAAGATTCATGGGAGACACCTTCTAGAAACTTTTATTGAAAAAATTTGGATGCTGATGATTTCTTGAGTTTGGAACATGACATAGTGCTGGGTTTCTCCAGACAAAAATTGGTGTGGAGTAGTGGAGTGGGATGGTGGATGGTAGCTGGCAGGGAGAGCTGATGTGTGTGAGTGTGCTTGAGTGTGAGTGTGTGTGCATGTGTTTGAGTGCACATGCACCATGCACAAACGTGTAGGAGGGTTGGGGAAATGCCAAGAACAATGGCACTCTGACCCTCCATGGTTGAGGACACTGAGGCTAAGAGATTCCAGGCTGGCCTGAGAAGTAGATGAGACCAAAGTGAGGGTCTGAAATTGGACAGATATTCCTTTACATTTTATCCATGTGACTCACCAGTGCAAGATACCTGCTCTTGGGTAAGGTAAGCAGTGAGCTCATACTATCAAAGGGGATGTTAGTAGCATCCACCACACAGGTTGAAGTTATAAGCATTCCATGTAATAATATGTATTCACAAATACCCAGTTCTACCACTTCCTACTTAGTATTAGTTGATGTCATCATTATTTTTAATACCTTAGATTGGTATTAATGAGAATTGAGTTTCTACAACCAAGAAGAATAAAGTCCAGAAGTGCGTAGATTTGGGGGGAGGATCATGTTGATTACAGCACCAACTTCACATGGAGTGTGTGTGTCATGCAAGGGAGACACTTGATAAATGTTTCTCAGATAATGAAATAAAGGAGTGTGTTAAGGTGCCTGAAAATCATAGTTTGTACTTCTGCTATAAATTTCCCCCCACATACTCTGTGTGTAGCACTAGAGAAAATTAGTCTTACATTTGAATGGGTTTCTTTTTTCCCAGGAAAAGGAGTCCTTAGGAATAATCTGTGGGTACCTTGGATTTTGGACCCTTCTTACCTGGTGTCCTGAATTGTGGAAACTTCTTTATTGAGGGAAGAAAGTTTTCTTCTCAAAATCCACAGAATTTGGAAGTAGAAAACTAGGTTTATCTGAGGAAACATCACAAAAATGACTTTGAATTTTCTTTTCAGGTTATTTTGTGCATTCTAACTTGAGGTAGACCTAAGAATCTTTCCCCACAACATACAGGCTTCATAAGGATGGTATGAATGTATGCCCTGGTCCGTTACAGATGACACACAGTATATAACCTCTAGCACTTGTGAATGGTCTGAGTGGCTATGGAATTCTTCATTCAAACCACAGCACTTTGAAGGTGTAATATCTATACCAGGTGTCAGGCATAATCAGGAACATTCTGGCAAACCAGGAAAACATGACACCCTGTACAGAGAGGACACTTGGTAAATACTAGTTAAGGAATGAACATCAGTTTTTGAAAAGAACTCCCAGAAAATGTTTGTATTGTTAATATATCAGAACAACTAGTGAGCCAGAAGGAATCGAGAAAAAGACAAATAAAAGCAGTATTTTCAGGAAGAGGGGCTGATTATATGAGGCTGTGTTTTCCTGATCTTTATCTCATTTCCATTTTAAAGAGGAGAAATACCTTCAGTATGCTTGGCCAACCCCCTGGCAGGCACACCCATAAGTAACTATCACCTACCAAGATAATGACTCCCACTGGCCCCATGAAGCTCCAGATGAATCCTTTATCAAGCTTGAGCCAACAGCTGTTGAGAGACAGAGAAGCATTAGCTGCACATTCCTTGGGAGAAGGCAGAGTTTGAATACAGCCTCCTGGAACAAAGTGTGAGCAGTTCCAGGACCCATCTGGTTCAGAGCCTGAATTTTACATGAAGGCAGGTGGTGGTGGTGGTGGTGGGGGGGGGCCTTCATCCGACACAAGCTGCCTGCTCTGAGTCTCAGTTTCCCAAAGTGTAAAGTGGGACAAATTGAAGTATTGTAGAGATTAAATAATTACAGCAGCTACATACTAAGTCTTGAAGTGCTATGACTTTGTTGCTCTTCTTCCATGTACTGTTAGCTATTCTGGGTCTTTTTCCTCCTTCATATAAACTATAGAGTTAGCATGTCAAGGTCCAAAACATAATATTCAGGGATTTTGATTGATGTTGAATCTACAGATCAATTTGCAAAGAACTGACTTCTTGACAATATAGAATCTTTGTATTCATAATCATGAACTATCACTCCAATTTGTTTTAAATCTTTATTTTTTCCATCAGAATGTTATAGTTTCCCTCATATAGGATTTGTAGAAAAGATTAAATAAGGTAATGTATGTGAAGCTTGGGGTAGAATTCCTGGCAAGTGTTAAAGCTTAATAAATGTTGTCATCATGATGATAATGACTGCTATAATGAGAAGGAGAGTAGAAATGATAATTTAGTTACAGCCATAAAGACAATCAACATTAAATAAGCACATTCCATGTACCAACTGCTCTATTGCCCAAACACTTTGTATCCTGTCCTGGCTTGTGTTAGCAGAGATAGTATAACATACTCTGAAAAGGGAGCTGGCTGTTTGAACATGTTAAAAGTAACAAGGAATCACCAATGCTAAGTGTTCTGTGCAAGGGTTGCAAACTATGACTTTAGGGATCAGATGCTGTACACTACTTATTTTTGTAAATAAAGTTTTATTGAGACATGATTACAATCATTCATTTGTGTATTCTCAACGCTGCTTACCTCTTATCAGGTCAAGATTGAGTAGTTGCAAGAGAATTTGTGTCCTGTAAAGCCTAAAACGGTTGCCATCTGGCCCTTTTAGGCAAAGTCTGGCAACCTCTGATCTCCCCTGCCATTCTATCTCCTGAGTCATTCTAGTAGGATGTAGGGTTGCATCTTAAAAGTTAGCATCTCTTTGTCTTCAAGAGGGACAGCAAGGTACACGCATGATGTTTTAGTAGACACACAACCTACCTCCTAACACACGGATTATACCATTATCAAAATAGTAGCTTCTACAGCTGTTGTGTGCAGAGCCTTAGGGAGGCAGGAGAGCATGGCTACTAAAGGGTATGTCGTGTTAATTCTGACTTGCTCTCTGTCTAACTCTGTCCGTGGGAAAGTTCATGAAATGAATGAAGCTTCTGATGCCCCGTGCATGAGGTAACATACTGTCAATTCTGTAGGGAATGGTGAGAATGACATAAGCTACTGCACACAGGAAGTGCCAGCTCTCGTAATTCACAGGCCTTTGATAGTTGTTAATATTGTTATTTGTTACATGTTGGAGAGTAATCTCAACCTATCCCACCTACTCTAGAACACATAGCACTCGGGTTCTTAGTGTAGGGCCTCGAGTTTGCTTCTCCTGTCCCTGAATTAACTGAAGGTGTTTTTAAACTTTGTTCATTTGTATAGTTGTCTAGAGAAAGGGACTCTGCCTTTCACGAACATTCCAAAGGCAATGACACCCCAGAGATGATAAGAACCATTATGCTAGGGATTTCCAAGACAAATCAGAATTCAGGCTCATGCAAGGACTGATTTGAAGTATAATCCACAACTGGGAGATGTATTAAAAATATTTCTTTTTTTTTAAATGATAGCTGTATACATTAATGCAAAAATGGGGTACAGTGTAGTGTTTTCATATACACTTTGAAATACTTTCATCAAGCTGGTTCACGTAAATTTCATGTCATTTTCATAGTCATTGTGTCAAAACATTTACATTCTAGTTCTAGAAAAGTTCACTTGTACCCTTGTTAGACAGAAATATAGGTGATCAGGGCCCTTGGACGCCACTTCTGCCACAAACACACACATTATGCTTACTGAGTGTATGTTCCATAATTTTGGGGTCCAATCATTGCAGACACAGTGACAATCACAGCCGGGATCCCGTAGCCTACAGGGTACATGAACCTCTTCTTGAACCGGCCCATGCTGGTGTAGTTGGCCACCTTGAGATTCCTGACAGTGAGGAAGAGGTGCAGTCCCTCAAGGAACATCCAGGTGAAGGCGGCCAGGTAGAGGTAGTGCAGAAGTCCTGCAATGAAGGAGCACAGCACCTGGAGGGGAGAGATGAGTTAGGCACATGCAGGGGGTGTGATCTGTACCTGATTATAACTTCAGTTCTTAGCTCTTCCTGGATGCTGTTTGGAATTTCAGTTTGAGCCCCTGAGATAGTTAGATTGTAGGCACAACACATTTTCTGGGGACTTTTGTTGGCCACTGAAGTCTGCTTCTCTCACATGTGGAGCAGGCCAGAAAGGGAAAGAATAGCCTTCCTGGGAGCAGCCTCCAATGCATACCAGACAAAACTTGGTAGATAGGCTGAGTGCAGCGGCTTATTTCTGTGATACTATCACTCTGGGAGGCCAAAGAGTGATGACCTGCTTAGCTCAGGAGTTTGAGACCAGCTTGAGCCATAGCAAAACCCTGTCTTTACCAAAATGTCAACAAAGTAGCTGGGCATGTGTCCTCGCCCTTTGGGTAGGAGAGCTCCAAAATATGTGCTCTATGCTGCCCCC